GTAGAGAAGGTACAGCATTTTATATTTTTTTAAAAACATTTTTAAGTGCTGTTAAGTAGGTTTTTTTTCCCAATATAAATATTTAGTTAGAAGCACTATATAAAGGAAAGAAATTACAGAACTAATTGAAAAAAAAATCATTTCAAGGACACAGACAAAACCAAAAGGTAAGAGCACAAAAGCGGTTTGGTGCACAATAAGGTGAACAATATCCAGTAGAGACATGGAAAGGATGAACCACCAAACTCTCATATCTCGCAAACAGATAAAAAAATAACTGTACACCTGCCTGGGAAGACCCATTTCAGTTTTTAGTGGAGAGTAGAAGAAGCCACTGGGAGATCCAGTGGGAGAATACAGTGCCACTAATATATACATGTGCTGAAAACACACATTTCAATCTTATTCTCGGACAACTGTGTATTTAGTACTTCTTCTTGCATCTTTACTGAAACAGCCCTGACTTTGGGCATATGAACTAGAAATTCTCCTGTGCACAAATTCTCTGTACAAGAACAAATTCGATCCTTCTAATAACGTTTAAGAGGACCGTAAGTATGCAAAGATTGTTGGCTAACAGCTGGAAGTAAAGATTAATAAACTGATCCGGATTGTGAGATCAAATTTTGTTGAAAAACAGGAGAATAGCTACATTACCAGAACTAACAAACTGGGCAATGCTGTATTGACAGTGAAATATTAGCCTTTGTGTATAGTTTTTGGAACATTAAACACTACAGCCATAGACAAACTGTTCATGTTATGTAGGTTATACATTAAATTCTCTACTCCCCTCCCCACCTCCAATAATAACAACCCAACAACATCCTGACATAGAATATGATGAAGTTGAAGGCACACAAGTTATTCAGGCAAGAAAAAAACCCGTAATGTTGACTACTTTTTGTGTGCTTCTGAAGATATTCTGCATAACAATAATCTGTTTGAATTTGTCAGAGAATTCAAGAAAAATAAATTTGTTTTACCATTGAGAACATGCCACTGAAGGAAAGGAGTAATCATCTGCATGCAGCACCATCTGTGTACCATTAGCAAATTTCAGAATGGATTAGGCCATGTGGTAAAATTATCAGTCTCTGACATCACTGCCATCAGGCAAGCAGTGAATTAATACAGAGCAAGTCTCTGGAAAAAGTAAACCCGTACTACCCTAGATTCTTACACATGATGAAAAACCCAGCTGACCTCCACGTACTTTTCAAAAATACTGAAAGGATGAATTCTAAAGTGTCTCATCTTCAATAAAAGATGAAAAATAAAATGAAGAAGATATTATTTGATACTGGCATGGAAAGAACAGGAAAGATGGAGCTTTTGCCTCTTAACAGAGCAGTAGCATGAGAAGTCCCAGGAAAACTGTATTTGGTCTTTGCCTGTTTTTTCTCATCCTGGCTTTTCTCTCATGCAGCCAAGTGGAGATCCTTGCAGAGAATGAAGAGTTGCAGTCTATGCCATGGACTTGGGATGTGTTGGTGCATGTGAGGTGGGTTCACGGCATTGTGCTATGAGAGAGAGGGAAGAGTAAGGCAGAAAAGAGGCAGTTGAGATATTTCTATATAGATAAAGCAAGGTATCAAGGGTTGTGAGGGAAAGAATCTCCCCTCACTTCAAACTGCAACACCTTTTGGGGAGAGTAAGAGGGAAAAGGAGTCATAGCTAAGGCTGCAGCCAGTTATGCTGGCAGTGAAGAGGCTGAGAGGTTCTAGAATTTAGGGTTAGTTTTTGCATGCAGGAGTAGAGTAGAAAGTGTGATTAAAGCAGAGCCACAACAGTCTTTGAGATGTCAGCGTTCTTCAGCCGAATGAGAAGTTAAATTGAAATTGCATCACTGTTTCCAGGGAGGCCTAGTGAAACAGGAGCTTGCACAAAGATACTGCAGACAGCAAAGGGAGTAGAGGCCCAGTCTAAATTTTGTCAGCAAAAGAAGTAATGTTTAATGTAAAAACATGAGCTACTATTGAGCTACTGTCAGTCATTTGAAGTAGTTCTATGCAGTGGTTACAGGATGTCTGTACAAGGGATTGACACACCTTATTCTCAGAGGATTCAATATTTGAATTTATTCACCTGTGAATGGAAGAGAGGGCATAAAGAGAGCAACTTCTGTCTGTATAGTCCTTGTCAGTGTCAAAAGGTCTCCTTACTTCTATGAGATTGTTTTTTGTGTGCAATGCACAAAAAATAAGAATTCTATACACTGTTGTACACTACTTTTCTAAGTCCTGCACCTATTAGGAAACTGTAATTAAGTAATTGACTATGGAAAGTAGTGCATAAAGCAAGACTGTATGGTCACATGCAGCTTCCTGCATGCATAGATACTAATACTTGATTGTCAGTACCTATACTCACAGAGTCTGCTTACAAAATGCTATTCCTAAACTACACATTAACTAGATGTTAAACTGTTTCTCTTCTTGTTTTGCAGATTGCAAGCAATATGACAGAATGAGCTCTCTCTTATTAAGCTTACTCATATGGGTGGCAAACAATAAAAGGTAACAGAGCTAGAAGAAGTAGGTTACTTAAAGAAGGGGAAATAAGGAAAAAAAGAAAATCATATGAAACTGATAATTTTCCTTAAGATTTTGGTTATGTTAAGAAACAATTCTCCAGCTTAAACAATGAAAGCCCAACCACGTGCAGTGATCAAAACTGGGTAATAAAAACCACAGATGATAAATCCAAGACAGTTTTGGACTAGCTTTATTTTCAGTCTCGGATTTCTGATTTTTCTAAAGAAAAAACACATTTCTTATTATTCTAGGAATACAGCATTGAATGTAAATATGCAATTCTGCGCTGAACAGCACCTATAAAAGTATCTGAGAATGTCAATTTCTACACTGCATTTCAGGAATTTGAACTCATTTTGATGTTAAATATTGTTCTCTTACTAGTTCTGAAAACTATGCAGTGACCTATACACCAAACTTCTAAAAAATAGTTGTTGAAAAGTATGAACAGCTTTCTGCTTTTTTTTTTTTTAAGTACACAGAACACAAAGTTTTGTGCCAGGCATACACACTAATGCTTCTGAGTATGATCATTCTTAGTTTCAGCAGACTGCAGCTTACTGTGTAGTTTTTAAGATGTCAGATTCCTGCTCCTCAGTGGTGAGGTACATTAGTATTTGTGGTGCCTCAAATCATAAATTACTCAAATCTGAGGCCATCAAAGCCTATGAGTAAAAATTAATTTACACTGCATAGCACAAAAGAGAAAAGAAGGATATACCTTCTTTGCAGATATGACAAAGAGAATTTGAGGGAAATATCAGAAGCTGCCTCTGTCATGCCTTCTGGTTCTGATATGCATTGATTTCTTCAGTGAAGAAGCCACCAAATATAAATTGTCATACATCAAATCAAAAGGTTATTGTCATAATTTACTGGCACAGTTGCAATGTTCTGATGAAAGCCTTCCATGATTCCATTAGAAGAATAATGTGAACACCAGCATAGGGAGTCTTAGTAAATGTTTTTGTGGCTAATACATTGCTGAAAAAGTATTCAAATCAGTAGTCCAATCAAGAGAAGCAAAGTTGCTTCAGATGTGCTAGTGTCATGTTGACAAACAATATAATTCAAACAGAAATACTAATGTTTTGCATTTGGAAGTCAGGAAAGAAAATTCACAGTACTTATATTCTATTTTTAAAATGTAGAGAGATACAGTACTTAGAAAATCCCATTCAAATAAGGAGTAGTTGTTTTGACACAGTAAAAAATACTGCTGATCAATATATATGGCAAAAGTGTTTATAATTTTAGTAATGACATACTTTCAACCTTTTCGACCTTATGAGAAAACTGTAACTGATCAAAATGAAAGCAATGTATCATTTGCAAGCCAAGAGAAATATACTATAATTTTATTCTAATGCCAGAGATGAAGTTAATAAAAAAACCCACATCAATTATCTCTTTCAATATTTAAAATGTTTCACATTGCATTCAGCAACTAATCCTGCACAAATATGGTCTCACACTTTTCCAGCAAATCTGGTTTCTATGAGCTGGAAAAGGAAGAAATACAACACTTCAAGGTGTGACAAACTATATGGAAACTACCTAAGCCACAGTAAAGCCTGAGAGTGCTCTTAAATTTCTTTAAGCTTTAGGAATAAGTACAAATGTTACCCTGACTACACCTTCCACAGCCGCATGTGAATTATATTAAGCAAATTAATACTATTAGTAACTTTTAGGGGAAAAAAACCCAAAACATAGGAATCTAAATGGAAAAACTTCATAGTGTCTAGATTCTGTTGCATAGCCTTTAAGATGTACAAATGAGAAGATGGAAGATAAATTAGATAATTTGATCTCATCACCGTGTCTTTGTAACAAAGCATAACTATAGCAAACAGTGCTTACATAGTGCACCACCAAGAGGATAATATCCCTTTTAAATAGTTAACTAATATAACTGATAAATTTTACCGATGGCTTTTACGTTTTTTTCCTTTCCAAACTGAATAACAAAAAGGTATTCAAAATAGGAAGGAGAGATTTTCCTCAGAGGAAGGAATTGCTAGAACTGGATGTAAGATAACTCCGTCTGGAGACAACCAAACAAAATGTACAGGTTTCTGCCACATTCACTCTCCGCAACTGGAAGATCTTTTCCCCTTGACCTTTCAGATTTCAAACATTAGACTGATAATATTATATTACTACACATTTACTAAAATGAAGACATAAAATCAAACTGCAGCTTCAAAGGGCATTTTGTATGCAGAGAGGTAAAAAAAATTTGTCATCCAGTTGACCCGTGCAACTGAATTGTTGTATTAATTTCTTAAAAATTAAGGACTCAAAAAGTTAAAAGAGAAGACATACACAATGAAACTGAGTATCTTCCTTTTAAAATAATTCAATTTCTTTTAAGAACAAAACTTAGAAAAAAATACTATAACGTTATGCGACTAATTTGCAGATATAAATAACAAAATTCACAGTCATATTGGTACTTACCCACTAAATGCCTGGACTGTATAAAGCTTGGAAGTATCCAAGGAACTTCCACTTACTATCCGAGCCTTTAATAAAGACCAAAAAAAGTGCAGTTACTCAGTTGCTCTTAGTAAGTCTTGGACAGAATTTAACTGCATCAAACATGTAACACCTAATATGAAAATGTTTAGCAGGGTCAGCTCCAGGCCAAAGCTAGAGTAACTATTGCTTTGGAATACATTTTGGTAGCGTTCAGCATTTAGTGAAACACACTGGAAGAACCCATGGGAAGATAAGATATTGCTTCCCAAATATTGTTGTCCTTTAAGTCTTATAGTGTATGCAGTGTAGATGATAATTAGAGGCAAAATTCCAAGATATCATGTTTGACAGTAGCAGACCCCTGTGTTGGCAATTATGATAAGCACAACAGTGAGGGTTATCCTGTTTATAAATGCAACACATTTGCAATACACTCAAAGGAGAACAAAAGAGTGGAAAGCTGGGAAAAACATGCAAATTTCACAACCAAAATGAAGGAACCAAACAGGTCAAATAAGTCACAAACAAACATCAACAAAATACATGATCCCTATAGTAAATACGTGATTTTAAACCTTTTCATCCACAGAACCGCTATCTGAAAGAGAATTGGGAAGAAGGGGAATACAGGTTAGAGAAAACAGTCTCTGAGAAAGTATCTCATGCTATAAAAAAATGACACTGTTTTAATCTGCTAATGCAGAGCAGAATCCAAGTAACACCTGGGCTTAGCTGTATCATTGCAGCAAGACCACTGTCACTACATTTTAAACAAGCAAAAAGATGTTTTCAGTAGATAATAACCCCTGCCACTTATGCAGGACTCTGTGGACACCATATAGTTTATATGCTGTATCTCATCTCCACATGATTTTTAGGTTTTTGGTTTGGTTTTTAATACATTTTTTAATATTAATGAATATATTTTTAATATAGTTGCAGAGTTCAAAAAAATAATGCTCTATTTTCAAGGAAAACGAGTGTTTCTACTAAGGATATTTAAAAAAAAAAAAAAAAAAAATCTCCTGAACTATTACTATTCTATTCTACCACTGCTATTCATAGAATGACAGAAATTACCCCCCAAATGCCAATATAAGAACTACAATTGTGAAAGTATAAGAAATAAGATAGATATATATATATATAAAATTATAAATTGCTTAAGGCAAAAAGAGATGTATTCACATTTACTATCAGACAGAAAATATTTGCTGACAGGAAAAGCTAACCTTATTTTATTGTCTTGTCAATTTAAAAATACAAGTACATTTAAAATTCTTTTATATACTATTCCACCGATAAGTGTCTTTCTTTTTTGACGCTTTATAGTACACAGCATACATGAAACTGCATTGTTTTAATTTAACCTTACTAATCTTTCCATTTTTCCTCCCCAATTGGAGTACACATTCTACAGGCCCTTTAAATAGTTCAGGTATTTTTAAGATGTTTGGAGATATCCCACATTACATACATTACAAAATGATCATTTATACCTCAAACATATGCCATGTTTCATTTTTAAACCAGTTTATCTACAAGAAAACAGCACATTCAAACACATATATGAAAAATATATTGCCAAATGTAAAGGTGCATATGGTGTAGTACCAACACTCCAGGGAACCAAAAGGCTCTATTACGGCACTAATTTTAGAGGCTACTTATGTGATCAAAGCAAAGTGCGTACACAAGAACAGGCAGAATAGGAACTGGAGACATATTGTTCAAAACATGTTTTACCAGTCAAATTATATCTGATTTTGTATTATTCATAAAGGTTAAAGAGGACTGAGCTACCTGGTATTAGCAATGTCACAACACCAAATTTGAATCCACAGAAAATCCAACTAGGCAATTTTGTGAGACCACAAAATTGGCCATTTTCTTATGCTTTACTGCAGATCTTGGCTTTTCTTTCACAGCTATCACAGCTATTGTAGAACAATCCTTTTGTTCTACAATGAACTAGTTTATTGTCCCAACGAAAACTTATGTTTTGAGTTATACAGAATATTAAATTAAAACTATTACTAATAGTAAATTCCACGATTTAGTAAAAATAGACCAAGCACATCTCTGTGCACCAAGAATATCTGCTTGCCATGAATTGATTCTTTTCATGTATATTCATATATATTCAGTTCTTCTCTTGAATATAAACGGACATGGTATAATTTTTTTCTTTTTACTTTTTTTTTACTTCAAAACTTCTCCCCCCACCCCCTTCAGAAATACTAGAATTTTTATTTTGCTTCAGAAATTAATTCTTGACTAAATTAAGCTATAGTGTTTTAGTTGTCAAATTACCCTTATTTGATGAGTAGATGTATAGAAAGGAGTTTAGTCTTTATATTTTTTTTTCCCTAATGTATTTGTGAAATGTATTTGTCTGACAACATCAGATATGATTGGCTACTCTTTCTGCACAAGCATATAAAGAAGATTTGGATGACCATATGGTCTTACTTTCCCACTCCAAAATTATTATAGCATTTTCATAAGCAGGGTAAAGAGCAGAGCCAGGAGTAACTAGATGACTGTAAGCTGGGCTGGCTGTGGAAATAAACTGGGGTATGCTTTCATGAGGTCTAAAGAAAGTATAAGGAACAGTTAAAACCAAAGTGCTGGAGCAGCATCTGGACAGGTGAATGAGAGGAAAGGCAAGACAGGATATACCAACAGGAGTCTAAGTAGGAGAGACCAAATTAATTCTCAAACTTGTAAAAAAGCCAGAGTCCAAAAGGTGAAGAGAAATTTGGGGACTGAGGGAAATTTTAGGCAGGACATCATTTGTAAGGTAAGACACCTCCCCATAATCTGTTCATGCAACCTACACCTTCTTTCTAGAATATCTAATCATAACAATACATGTAATACTGCCATTTAAAAATTCATAATAAACCTCAGTATTATTTATATGAAATGCAGTTTTAAAATAGTTTGCAGGTCCTTTGCTACCAGCTGCCTAAAGAACCACATGAATTATATGTTTAATTCAGTTTGTTTAGAAGGTTGTATTAAAAAATACAAAATTGTTGAGACTTGTCTTCCACATTAAATGGAATTTTGTATTTCAGAGCACGAGAGATGAACATATGAAATTTTCTTTACCTCTCTTGGGTTTCAGCCAGCTTCATCTAATTTCACTACACTTCCTTTACTGGAACCTAATTTTGCCTAAATTTAGGAATGAGAGTGACAATCAAAAATTAGGAAGGGAAAAAAGTATTACGTGTTTGGTTTAACTTGTTTTTCTTTGTAGTTGCTACTTAAAAAAAAAAAAAAAAGCACCAGTCTAATGGCCTCTTTTCTCAACAGAAATTGCATAAGGCAGACAACTGATGCAAATTTCTGAAAATGAGATTTTTGAGAACATCTTTCTTTTGTAAGAAATGACTGCATCTTCAGAGACAAAATTAGTTTGAAAACTTCATTGTTTACTGCTTCTTCTGAACTCACCATGAGTGAAAAAATCTGAACTGTGGAAGTGTTCCCTGTGTGCATGAGAGCACCAAATCAGGAATTGTACAGTCACCAAGCAATTCACTTTGGTAGTCATTAGGCTACCAGAATAGACAGCAACATTCCTTGATGTAGATAAGAAACGAACTATGATTATGTAAGAGATCACTGAATGTATTTTCAAATCAGGGATACAAGGCTAGACATCTCAGATTATACTGCTGAATGACAATGATTTACTTAAAACAGCTTATCTTCATATAACTCTTTTCTGTCATCCACACATTCTAATGCAAACAACTAACCCAGAAAAGTTATGAATGTACTAAGAACAGTGTAAACACTGGTTCATTTAATTAACTCTATGGGATACTTCCTATTTTATTTCAATTAGTTTGTTTCTCCTTAGATTTTTATTTTATGTGAAAATTCACTACATTATGAAATTCCAGTATAGTCTTCATGTTATGCCTCTATACCATATGCCATTTTTGACAACTGGAGGGTATTTTACTAGGATTATAGGAAAAATCCATGGAGTGATATTGCTCCATAATTGTTGCTATTTCAGCTCAGTGCATTCCATATATATACTTGTGTAGTGGAATGATGAAGGGTAGGATTGTCATCTAGCTACTTACTAGTGAAAATTATATTTACAAATGTCAAATATTGAAGGCAAAAGGACAATCCCCCCCCCCCTTTTTTTGGCAGTCTCATAGTTTCGAGCTCAATTATATTTAATTAGGTAACTGGTAAAAAGAGGAGAAAACTGTTCTAACTTAGTTAAGGATACTGTAGTGGTACGAGGTTTCTGTTGTTCATTTAAATTTATAACAATTAATACCAAGAAGAAGAAAAGGTAGAATATCATTAATTACAGCAAGGAAAGCATAATGATCATCTATTATATCACATTTCTCCAGATAAGCTCATTTTCTATGCAGAATTCTTAAAAGCTGATGATAGAACAAAAAAACTTTAGGAAGGAGAGAACAATCTTAAGGAATATTTAGCAGACCATATTTTAAAACGCTCCTGCTAGCTAGAAAGTTCTCTCCAGCTCCGCACCATTCTTTACCACTTATCTCTAATCCTCCTTCTTTACTACCACTGCCTAAGCCTCCCATAAACAGACATAAACCTTTAGGTAAACAAGAAATTAAAAATATTCACTAGTTAGAATTAGTCTTTAAGGTTCTGTTAATAAGAAGGTCCAGATATTAAAAGGCTATATAACATTCAACATACTAAATCCTGGTTTCTGTTGAAAATGGTTCCCCAGTATACACTGAGGTAAGTTAGTCCGCAGATGGGGGGATATGGCAGGGGGGAGTTGGGGAGTGGAGTGAGAGGGGCTTATTTGGCATTCTTTCAGCCCCCTCAAATAAGCCCCCAAGTTATTTTCTTCCACATATGAGTTTAAAGGTTTTGAGAAGGCTAAGTAAAATTTCCAAGTGTTTATTAACGCTGCATAATTACTATTCAAACTCAGTCCCAAAGCTAATAGATCTTACAAAAGTTGAACTCTGCACTGTTATCAACTGTTTTCAAATTAACATGTGGTCTGATTTATCCATTTTTAATAGCAATGTTGCCACTTGTAATTTACCACAAAACACAGGAATTCATCATATCAGTTAACTAGTTTCTACACCCAAACTTCCTAAGAAAAAAATCTCTAAAGGATGCTGAAAAGGCAGATTCTTCCAGCATGAAAGATAAACTAGCAAGATATAGAAGTGAAGACAGACCTTTGCTTTTGTAGCTTATGATATGACCAGAAATACAACTGGACAATAGTCTCATCAGTCAGCAGAGATGTTTATATCAAAGAGGTTCAGAAGATTTCCTGCCCCCCCATCATAACCATCCTTCAAGCCTTATGTCATTATTTCACTCGTGCATTTTTCTGAGCAGCAGAGCATCATCCTAGTACACTTCTCTTTCTTTAATGATTGCGAAAATTTAGTTTACCACTCCCCTGCCATAGCACAAGAACTATAATAAGGTTGTAAAAATCTAAACCATTAGGAAACCCTAGGATTAAAATAGTATTATGTATACTACCTTGATTTTCCGCTCTTGTAAGTGTACATAATTGTATAACACCAAATTGGAAAAAGATTT